AATTGTACATTCTGGTCTCATTCGTGACCGCGACTCACTAGAGCGTGTGCCGTGAAGGGCATCGAAAGTAGTACATGGCTTGTCAGAAATCCCTTATCATACCCCACTACAACAACTAAATCTATACCCTCTAGATATACGACGTATCAGANAATGGAATAAGTTTTCACTTGATATTGTGAACTCCTCCTCCAAAAGAGTCTTCAAAATCCTGCTAGACTCACACTTAGGGCTTACCATCCCCTGATATAATTGGCCTCCATCTTCTGAAGAAAACCCCCACGTTATCCCGCCGATCCCTGTTACTACGTCTCTCACATTTCCGCTGTCCTCTAGATTTTTTTCTATTTCCGATGCATGCACCCTTAACCAAGCTGCACTATATTGGAGCCAGCTCCCATTTCCGTCAACATCCCTTTCACCTCGTGAACCGAAATGCAGAATAGAAGACAAATCCAGAACCGGGAATATTGGGTGCAAGCCTCGAACCCGAGTACTACTTCAAGACCTTCAAGACCTCAAACGATGTTGTGCGTTCAATCTGAATCTGGTGTGTCAATCCTACACCAATTCCCGCAGTCCGTCTATTCTGGACTTGCGAGCAATGCGGCTACTACAAGGATCAATTACACTACATACCAACAACGATATACCAATCGCCTCACATCTTCAACATTTAATTGTACTGAGTTCCGGTAACCTCGATGGCATGAAAGTACCGTCGGTACAGTTAGAAAGTGGACGGTGAAGCTGTTTTCCTAAAACGACGCGTCCTCCCATACGGTCAACGGGAAGGTGTCCTGAAAGCGTTACAGAAAATGGAGCAGGATAATGAGATGGGCATTTTTGAATCCAGTGCCTGGGTGACCCCGATCGTCATGGCGATGAAAAGTGATGGTAGGACACCACGGATCTGCGGAGACTATCGGCTGACGTTGAATCCCAGATTGGGGGGATTTGCAGCGACCACCATGGAACTAGAGGATTTCATGAAGTTGTAGTGTTCTACTTTTCCATCCACTGTTTTTTGACATGATTGTACAGCTTGTTTTACTACGCTCAACACCTACGACAGTACAAATTCTGTTCGTAACTACGCACGTGTTCCCCGAGTGTTGCTGAAGCATTACGCAATCATTTACAGTTATCGTCAAGCGGTCCGTTAACTCTCGCAGTCATCCCTTTCAGCTCCACTACACCTCGTCAACCGGAGCCACACATACCTATGTGGATTAGGTTACCCACAGAAGCGGTCAACTGCACCAACGTTAACGCCTTCGAGGTGACACTGGACGCATGTTGATCAGCAACGTTCTCCGAAGTTAGTATTTAGAGTTGGAACATAAGGAATAAATTCTAGTATAGCCGGAAGCTTTTAAAATGGTGCAAATGCGGGCCTGACTGTTAGAATTAGTCTAAAACTAACTGTCCTGTTACATGAGATTTGTGTATACTTGAGGTCTCTAACCAATGAGGCGAGGAGATATCCTTGCTTGATTTCCTCTTTTTCAGCATACCCCGAAGGAGTCAACGTTCTGGCAACAGGGCTAAATTGGGAGGATCACAAACACCCAATCAACTGAACGCAGTGTTGAAAGCTATTCCCATTCGCTGACAACATAACGAACTGCTCGCTCGATTGGCAAGAGCCATATTCGTCGTGTGAAAACTGAATTGACCTGATTGACTAGATTCAAGGTCATGTTGTTCCATTAAGTGATTGCTGTGGTGGTGCTTATAGTAGTCAGACGTTTTCCGCTTTTTTGGCTGTCAACGTTATCATCGGGCTGGTCTGTCGGTATGTTGTTTGAAAGACCACTTTGTCCATTCATTTGTAAATCTTATTTGATAAGTGGTATTATGAGGTAAATTCCAAATTATTCGAAATGAGTGAAAATTTACTATTGGCAAATGCATACTTAAAAAGAACATTATCTAACCAAGCAGTTCGAATGAAATCTTTTTCTCCTCCTGCACTACATTTCCGAATCTAAGTATATGGTTTTCGTCCATTTGACTGATAACGAATGGTTTTTAACTTGATACACCATTGATTCATCTAGGTAATCCCAAACGGAACGCAATCAATAAAAATACACTTATGCTTTTCGTCGCTAATACGCGTGCAATGTAATCAAATTTGAACAAATCGAGTTCACCAGAAGCCGAAATCTGGGGCTATAACCACGTTGGTGAACCACTGGCACCTCACCTAGCGGAGTTGGCTGTAAACCCTGATCCCAAACCAAGCACGAAGAGGCGTACAAACCACACACCCCTTTCTGGTATCAACCAGTGGCTTTATTGGGCATTGAGGTGTGTTGCGCGTCCTGGACGTTTAACTGCGACCGTAGACCCTTACTCCATCAGAAGTATGCGACTAGTCTGAAAGGGGTTGGACGCCGAGGTATGACGGTGGGTAATACTTTCGTAACGATTGGGATGGAACTTGCTCCGCGGTGGTTAGCGCAGCTGTTACAAGGTCCTTTCTTGAAAATTGGAGCGATCCTCGATTTGCTCCAAGAGGATAGAGTGCGCCCTTGCATCCATATGTTACGCATCAAGTCAGTAACGGAATTTACGAGGTCATCTCTCCCATCTTGAAAAGAGTTTAATTAAGCCCGTCAGGTCCTGCTAATTTCTATTATTCGAGCTTGGATGAGCGATCGTACCTCAGTGCGTATGCATTGAGAGTTTGGCAGCGATCAGTGAAGTTCGCCTCTCTGTATTTCGCTGTACGATGATGATGATGATTATCATACTTCTGCTTCAGTAGGAGGTTTATGTGACTTCCCATGGAGCTTCAGCTACAAAAGACGAGGATTTCTGGTTATCGCCTGGCCAGCTGTTGTTCCATATTATATTCTTTTGCCGCTGGTTGCTTCCTTAACTTAGATTCACCTACCTCCCGTGTTGCGTATCAGTTAGAACTGTCTTTGACTAGTGGCAGTCTGTTTCTCGTTAGTCTGAAATTTGAACACCCGTAGCACTTTTTACCAACGCAGACATGTGCTGAGGTCGATCACAGCGATCAGCTGTTGATGGAAAGGATGTGATAAGACTGCCGTTGTTACCAGCCGAATTACTTGAATTCTAACCACGTGTTGCCCTTCGTCGGTGTGGGCTACCGCGAAGTATTTCGTGCCCTAAAGTCTTATGCAGCCATTTTGAAAACCCTCCTTCCCGTCTATCTCGTTCTTCCTATCAATCCCGAATAATACCCAACACCTGCTGTTTACAGGAACCATCGGATATCACTCAGCGTTTTACCAACAAGTCCAAACAATCAGAAGTTACCGGACTTTGGAAGCCGAAATTCCCTTTTCACTTTGCCGCGTTCAATGTCCGCAAACTCTATCGGTCAACAAACTGCATTGGCTAGAACCCTTGAAACTTTCAATTTAGATGTATGTTGTGTCTCCGAAACACGCTTACAAGACCTTACTTCCATTATCTCTCTGCGTTCTCCTGATTCAACCTCACGCTTCACCCTTCGTGTGTCAGGCGATTCGGCGTCCGAAGCTCTCGGTGTTGCTGGTGTCGGAATTGCACTAAGTGCTAAGGCTGAACGCTCACTTCTTGACTGGATTCCAGTCAGTAGCCGACTGTGCGCCGTACGTCTCAACGGTTCAGCGCGGGTCAACAGCTACGGATCGAAGCGTCAATGTCTATTCGTCGTGTCGGTGTATGCACCGACGAATTGCAGTACACCTGAAATCAAGGATGAATTCTACAAGGACCTTTCTCGTTTACTCCAAAGCGTTTGATCAACGGACTTCGTGGTAATCGCCGGAGACCTCAATGCCCAAGTGGGTCCCTTAGGCAAATCAGAGAGGCTTCTTGGTGGACCACATGCAATCCCAGCCAACCGGACGGACAACTCTGTGCCGACCACGGACTATTCCTGTCAAGCACGAACTTCTCGCACAAGAAACGTCACCGTCCTACATGTAGACCGCCAATCTCTTCACAGCGCTGCCCCTCTTACTGGTCAACACCTGTTGATATGGACCACGCTTTGCTACGAGCCAAATTCTCCTTACGCCTGGCAAACACCCGTAAAAAAGCCGCCGAAAAGGATACCTATGATACAACGTCAGTGATTGTTGCAAATCGGCCTTCGAAGCGGAACTATCAGATCGCCTATCAGTTCAACCACCAGCCGAAGGACTCAATGAACACGAAACAAATCAGGGAAGCTATGCAAATATCAATAAAAACAACGTCAGACTCGCACGCAGGCTCAAAACATAAACGATGGATCTCATCGACCTCGGCTGCTCTGCTGGACCCCCACAGAACCTTTCCTCCGGATGCCACATATGACAGCGCGCAAATCCCTCAAACGCCAGCTCAGGAGTTTCTTTAACTCCGAAACCAATGCTAAACCTCCATCCTTGAAAACGGATGGAGAGAGCCCGTTTGGGCCTGAGGCCTTATGCCTTTTGAGATAGCTTATTTACCGGGAAACCTCCATTTCAGATGGAGGACTGACATCGACTGGCAGAATTTGCGCAGTCGCGGCGGAGAGTGACAGTTCAGATATAGATGGGAGCCAGTTGAACTGAGTCTTGAAATATTCAGCCCATCGATCAAGACGGCGTTGCTGATAGTGAATCAGTGTGCCATTGGATTCCTTAATTACCTCCCTTACACATGCTTTCCTAGGACCCGTATTCCTAATTAGACGACTTTTGCGACTATTACCCATATTCGCAGCCTTCTCCCTCTCTATACACTTTCCTACCCACTACTTCTCGCGCTACCTTTCTCTGAAAAGTGTGCCCGAGTAGTTCATTTCAATATTGTAATCCCTCTATACTCATAGACGAAGCCGAATCCGAGCTTACGGCACGTTTCCGCCCGAGTTCACCACGGAAAGTGGTGTTCGACAAGGTTGCCCTCTCTCTCTTCATTCCTATTTAACTTTGTTATAGATCTGGCTATGAAAACAGCTGTGTCCTCGTGCGAGGATGGTGGCATCGATTTACTACCAGGTGGCAGGCTGTCTGATCTAGAGTATGCAGACGACATTGTGAAGATCCATGTAAGTTGCAAGCTTTTCTGGTTAGTTTAAGTGCTCGCGTGTCCATGTTTGGTATGTGTTTTGCACGTTCAAAGTGTAAAATGCTACTATAAGACTGGGTTGATCCAACACCGAGCCTCACTCTAACTGGAGAAGTAATAGAGCAGGGGGATAAGTTTTTTTATCTGGGCAGCTATATCTCACCCGGTGGATGCATTACAGATGAAGTATCAGCTCGCATACAGAAGGCTCGGTTGGCATTTGCCAACTTGAGACATCTGTGGCGCCGTCGCGACATCCAGCTGTCTGTGAAG